TTTCAGGAGTTAAGGACACATGCTCATTCAATAACCGTTTTATTTCCTGTTTGGGTTGATGTAAATGCTTTATTTTTTAAGATGTTTTTCCAAGCATTGTTAGATGCCAGTGTTTCATATCTATGCAAAGTTTTCATTTCAAAAACAGTATCATAGCTACTAAACTATTTCTTATGATTTTAAATCTGTATTTATCCTCAGAACGATCGCGAAGCAAAAAGAGCTGCTAGAGTTTGTTTTTGTGGTGGCTGTGCTTCAAAAGTAAATTATTATAATCTTAATTCAAGTGATGAAGGATTCTGAAAGTCTGACAGTACTCAGTGCCGACTTCTACTGTAAGGTTAACCCTGGCCCTGATTAACGGTTTAGAAAAGTGTAGAAAAAAAAATATTAATTTTAAGTTAGAAAAGTAACTAAAAAGTAATCTTAAGTAATCTAAAAAGTTACTTTAATAAAGTAACTGAAATAGTTACACTGCTTATTACATTTTAAATAGGGTAACTTGTAATCTGTAACCTGTTACATTTCAAAAGTAACCTTCCCAACACTGCCGCCAGGGAACGGGCAACGGGAGGATCTGGCCAAATGGTAGATGGCAGGGTGTCTTTGAGATGCTCGACATCCGTGCATGAACCAGAAGTGGTCCTGGAGGAGCGAGAAGTGAAAGAGTCCTCGAGACGGTGAAAGGTGTGTATGGCATCTGTTGTCCAGGACAGAGACTTGGACCTGCCTTTAGGGAGGGATGTCACAGGAGATTTCAGAGAGCTGTGGCTCCTGATGAACCTGCCATAGAAGTTCACAAACCTTATGAAACGCTGGAGTCCTTCAATGCTTGTGGGAGTGGGCCAGGAGCGAACGCCTTCAACCAGCCTGGTTTCCTTCAGCGTGCATGTTGTTCCAGGAACTGGATGCTGGTTTGGTGGAACAAACACTCAGTCTTGAGGTGGAGATGGAATTCCATTATGAATTTTGATCATTTTGCACCTCAGCAGATCTTCTGACCAATGTGTGAGTCAGCACAGACCTCAAAACCTATCGATGGGTCAGTATTTGTAACCCAGGCTCTCTGAATCCTCCAGTGGTCTATCTATGGTACGGTAATCCGCACCTGACCTTTGACAGATAGGAGCTTGTGCTCAATGTGAGTGCATCAATGCACCTGCAGTCTCCTCTCTCTCAAGACAATGATATTAAAATCCATGGCACCTGCATATGACGACAGTTCAAGCACAAATGCCAAGGCAGCCACCACTCACATACACAGGTCCTAACCTTCAGAAGAGTCTCCACAGAGCCTCATTCCTTCATCCAAGGCGTACGTCTCTGCCTTACCTGGATGAAGTCTTGTGCTTCAACATTTATTCATCAGAGAGATTATTGAACAGCAGGGTTTTTTTTTATCATGAATAAATAGGATGTTTTATTAAAATAAAAAATGTAGTCTGAATGTAGAGATGAGCAGTAATGAATAATTAATTAATTTAATTAATAATTAATTTTAAGCAAACAATATTGTGTGTAAAATGTTAATTTATTATCAATTTTGGAATCACTTTCTGGAATTCTGGAATCCAGTGGACCTTGTACTTCTGTCCCACAACAAACAGCAAGATGAGACTCAGACATTGTTACTGCAAACAGATCTCGACTTGCAACAGAAAAAGTTAAACTGATGTTCTTGCACAAGAACATGAAGATAGTCGCCTGCAATATAAAAGAATGACAGAGCTTCCAGTGGTGTTATGATCATTTTGAAATACACTGTATGCTGATACATGCAGCATAATAATGCAATTTCCTGGGAGAAAAAAAAACTTTTTTGGCTGCATCTGAAAACCAGTGGTGGACGAAGTACACAAATCAAGTACTTGAGTAAAAGTACAGATCCGTATAATAAAATATTACTCCAGTAAAAGTACTCAGTTTTCAATTTTACTCGAGTGAAAGTACAAAAGTACTTGATTTTTTATGTACTTAAGTAAAAAGTACCGATAGATGAATGTTTATTTTGCAGTTTTATATAGGCTACTTTTATCATTTAATTTTATATTAGCATTTATTTTTTTATAATCCTACTGCTCAAAATACCTGGGATTTTCCCAAAATAACCAATAAGGAAATAATGAATATAATAAGGAAAATATAATTATATTTTCATAATGATTTTTTTCTTCTCAAACCTTGTCTGTGGTGTAAAAACAGCCCTGGCCAAATGCCCCCTGAGGGCATCACTTCCCACTTTGATAATTACTGTAGTTACCATGTTCTGAACATCACATCCTTTCTTTTCCCCCCAGATGTAATCCATCTAGGTGGTAGAACTTTTAAAACTATTTTTTTTAATTACCTCAATTTAGCACCAGCAAGCTTGTTAGCTAAACAGTTAACATCAGCTAACATTGACTTATTTTCAGCATGGTTATGAATAAACATTCATATCTGTCTACCCGGCTAGTTAATCCAGATACATAGTAACTTAGGCTATGTGTGCTGACAAACAATATAAAAACAGACATCACATAGGGCTAAATGCATAGCATTTCAGTAAAACTGTTAACATTACAGCAGCGGGGAAGATGAACGTGCATGAGTTATTTTATTTAATCTGTTACAGTGGGTACGGAAAGTATTCAGACCCCCTTAAATTTTTCACTCTTTGTTATATTGCAGCCATTTGCTAAAATCATTTAAGTTAATTTTTTTTCCTCATTAATGTACACACAGCACCCCATATTGACAGAAAAACACAGAATCGTTGACATTTTTGCAGATTTATTAAAAAAGAAAAACTGAAATATCACATGGTCCTAAGTATTCAGACCCTTTGCTCAGTATTTAGTAGAAGCACCCTTTTGATCTAATACAGCCATGAGTCTTTTTGGGAAAGATGCAACAAGTTTTTCACACCTGGATTTGGGGATCCTCTGCCATTCCTCCTTGCAGATCCTCTCCAGTTCTGTCAGGTTGGATGGTAAACATTGGTGGACAGCCATTTTTAGGTCTCTCCAGAGATACTCAATTGGGTTTAAGTCAGGGCTCTGGCCATTCAAGAACAGTCACAGAGTTGTTATGAAGCCACTCCTTCGTTATTTTAGCTCTGTGCTTAGGGTCATTGTCCTGTTGGAAGGTGAACCTTCCACCCAGTCTGAGGTTCTGAATGCTCTAGTTTTAGCAAATGGCTGCAATATAACAAAGAGTGAAAAATTTAAGGGGGTCTGAATACTTTCCGTACCCACTGTATTTTAATGCCTTTTCACCTAAAACATAGACACACAGATGTTGATGTGTCTGCATTCAAGCATTTCAGTGGGCTTAAACAGATCACCCTTTACAGCAGATTTAGTTCACAAACAACTGACAGCTTTGACCTAAATATGATTTTCAGTTACAATAATTAATCCTAAAATTCGACATTAGTAACTTACTTTTAGCAGCATCAGTCGCGCGCGCGGTTCTTCCTTGTGAATTCAGTTCACTGGAATGTAGTGAAGTAAAAGTAAAAGTTACTCAAAATAAAACGACTCCAGTAAAGTACAGATACTTGAAAAATGTACTTAAGTACAGTAACGAAGTAAAACTACTCCGTTACTGTCCACCACTGCTGAAAGCTGGAAAACGCTGCCTTCGGAGGACGCATTCAGAGGCATCAGGAATCCAGAGTTACTAACTCTGTCATGGAAACTAGCATTAAACTATTTACTAATCAATTCAAAGGAAACATATACATCGGTACAGTGGCGCAAAAACAGGGTATGCAGTATATGCGGTGCCATTTTGCCAAAATTATTCTGTGAAAATCTCTTTTAATAAAATGTTATAAATAATCGAAAGCTTAATTGTTAAAAATAATGTAATGAAACATTTTTATTTACCGGTTTTTAGCATTTTTATTTAGTTAAAAAAAGTATTTATTATAAACGGAGTACATATCAACGCTCACCATTCGACACATTCTGTCACAGTCACATTAGCAAAGTGACCAGAGGAGCGAAACGCTCTGGGTGCAGAACAGACGAGACAAAGGGGAAAAGAAAAACAATGCATTCAAAGGAGGACAGCAATGTCCAAATGAACTAACAGAAATTGGTAAGCTTACACTATTATTTTTTCATTGTCATTTAGTCATTCAACATTTAACGTTGTTGCCTAAGAGGGCAAAGTGATTAACGTTAATATCAGTTCATTTCTGAGGATCTCTATTTCTCTAAAAAATAAATAAAGTCACAACATGTTTATGAATGGGCATTTGATTTACATTTGAGAGGAACTGAGAAGATAAGGATACGAACTAGCCATCTTTTGCAGAAAATTGCCATTTTGAATTCAAAATATCAAAATATTTATTAATTTGTGTGATTCAAGTAGATGAGTTTTTTTGAAAATTCTTGTTACTTCATACTTCAGTACAAAACAACGCTGAACTCTGACAAAAAAAGTGATGTTTTAAATGTTATTAGTGATTTTATAATGTCTAAATATAAATCCAAAAGTAAAACGTAAAAAGAGCTATAGGCTATTACTGAGTGGAAATGGTAGGCTAAATGAGACTAAGAATGATCCTCTGCTGCCATCTAGTGGTCGTAGTGTGAATATCATGATATTCATTTTAATAGTATTTGGTTTTCTTCCAGGTGGCAGAAATCTTCCACTTAAGCATGGCAAAGTTTCCATGAATTGCCTCTATAAGTAGAATGCAGATGTTCTTTAAAGTGAATTTTACATACTGTGTTACATTTTATAAAAAAGGCACCATCTTCTGGAGAGACGCGGCAATTAATTCAGCACCTGATAACGGACACTGTGCTTCTGGACAGACCTGCAGTGGGTGTTTGATTAGGCTCGTCTCTTACGCTCTGGACTCGACTGGCACGCCAGCCGACCGAGTTATCAAAGGTTCAAGATGAATCCCTGATCACAGTCATAATCCATCATGCTTCTGGTAAACTGTGCCTCTGTTATCAGACCTATTCAATAATCACGTCACAAAATACGGAACAACCTTTAATTGCAGGACCAAATTTAATCTGAAAATTGTAAAAAATATCAAATTCATACAAATGCTCTTTAACGGAGATGGTGCTAGTAGCAAAGTGTACAAAAATGAGGGGAACAACAAAAACCGCTTTTAATATTTCATCTACCCATCTGGAGTCCGATCAGCTTCATTTAACACTCGGTATTCTCTCGCAGTGAGACAGACGAGACACAGCTGACCTTCAATCAGTGCTCTTGCTCTGCTCCACAAATCACACAAATCAACACATTTAAAAACCACCAGCGCCGCACCTTCGAGCCTGAATCCCAGATGTCTGATTACAAAGGTTAATGACGCTCTCATCCCCCGCCAATCATTAAAAACACAAGCGTCCAGAAGAAATCACTAAGAAAGGAAGCTCTTCAGCTCGATCAGTGCGGCTAGTCCTGCTAGCCTGCGCGCGCTCCCATCAGCCCCTGCTGCGCTGCGACTGGCTCACTGGAAGCTCTCTGGTTCTGCTGGGGCTTTACGAGCCCAGACGAGGCCTCTTGCGCGGCGACTGCTCCTCATCAGCGCTCTCCTCCTCGTCCTCATCGTCTGGATAGTCCACCAGCCCGGTCTGCGGAGCACAAAGCACAAACCTACAGTCTCCATGTTATCTGATCGACTCCCTAGTTTTCATTCCAATGAGATAAAAAATACAATATGTGACCCTGGAGCACAAAACCAGTAACCAGTGACCATTAGGGCTGGGTATTGTTCAAAAATGTTCGATATCGGTTCCTGAATGATACTTTTTTCGATACCAATTTTATGAAATCAATTTTAACAAGATTACATTATCTAAAAAAAAACTTTGGTTTTATTTTTGAGCTTGTTGATGTTTATACAAACTCAAAGACTCATCTCCTGAGCCACTGCACAAAGGAACCCAACACAATAAATCAGTGCAAATAGTTTTAATAAAGCTCAAATAGTCTTCAGTTTACACATCTGTTAGGCTACATTTACACTAGTGCGTGTTCGTTTTAGAACACAGCTCAGACAGAATCATGATTTCTATTTATTTTCCACTGATTTACTGATGAGCATTAGCAGCTTCCAGCGCTGTCTGCCTGTGTTCTCTCTTCCATGATCGCTGCTCTGACTCAGAGTCAGAGGTAATAACATATTTAATTTCAGCAACATTACATGGCCAAAACACACATTAGACGGCAATCGGAAGTTATTACAAACACTCGATGGTGGTGTAAAGTGAGTTTTGAGTAAATAGCAGAATATAAATCTTATTTATTGTCTTATGTAGCATGATGCTACAGTTTGCATGAATGGCCACATAACACGCGCTTTCGGTCGTGTAGTATGAACGGACATCTGCATATGATCGGAACTCCACGCAGCTCCCGCGCTACTCTCCATTGGAAATGAATGACCGGTCAGTCGCTTGTCAGAGATAGTGTAAAGCCGGCTTGAAACACAGTGGAACGCCAGTATGACGAGGATCGTTTTCATTTTAAAACATAAACGCACCAGTGTAAATGTAGCCTTACATCTAAGGGGGCTGGGACGCATTAGCACTACAGCCTCAAGTGTGCGCAACATCTCTGAGTGTAACCGGTGTAAACTAGTAGGTGTGTTCGACTTGACGCGGACCGACTGTGCAGACCGATCGGTGTATTACAGTACCACGAGAGCTAAAGAGAGCAGACTGCTCCGTGCGCTTTCGAATCGAATCGCTCTGCGCCGCACCTCTTCTAGTTGAACACACCGGCTAGTGCTGCAGGCTTATTGGCTCACTGACGCTGATGAGATTAACCCCTTAGGTATTGCAATTTGGTACTGAACGACGAGATGTTTTTCGATACTCGATGGTATCGAGGCAATTCGGTCGGTGCCTAAAAAGTATCGAACTCGATACCCAGCCCTATATACTGACGTAGTTTTCTGCACGCTGGTCGATAAATATGTAAGAAGTCAGTTCCGGCTCGGAGCAAGCTTTCCTGCAGTGAACAGAACGAACGCTGTTCTTTGATCTCTGTGCTTCAGACGTGTGCGCTGCATGCAAACAGAGCGCAAGTTCTTCCCTTCCTGCGCTTAAATCATTCAAAATCACACTAAGATGTGAACGCAGGAATGGTTAAGCGGGACTGAAATGCAGGCGTGTGAGTGGATGTAAGGTGCGTGGCGTACCCGGGCCGTCTGGCCTGAAGGTGGCGCTGCAGCTCTGCTGGAGGAGGCGGAGGGAGGAGGTTTGGAGCCATTAGCCGTGTTAGCCGCTCCAGACGAGTGAGAGAAGCTGAACTTGAAGCTGCCACTTGCTGTCCGCTTGGGCTGGTTCTCCTTGTCCTGACTCTCTTTCACTGAAACCAAACAGACTCACGGGAAATACAAGGCACTTCCAGCTTTTAAGCTTAGAGTAATCATGCCTCATTTAAGACCTTTTAAACACATTAAGACCAACTAAAGATAATTTAAGAAATAAATTGAATGGAACACAATACATCAATATGGTCTTTAAACATAAATGTCTTATTAGTAACACTTCAAAGTCTGAAAAATACAGATTCCAACAGATCACCATTACTTTACAATAAAATAAAAAGCTTGAATAGCTCTGCTCAAAACACTAGAACATGGAAATAACTTTTACTGTACCTTCTGATCACACTGCATTAAAAGTGCTGTTGTTCCTCGATATTTCTCTTGTTTTCTAGTGCGAATGTCTACAGATTCTTAAAGCAAGATCTATTTACTGGAGAAGCATCATGACAAAAGTATTGTGAAACTGATCAAAGTGAAGTGAGTTAAATCAACTCGATTCAAAGAGAAAACAAGTTTTTGTTCCCCACTGACAGATATTTGCTCTAGTTTGAGACAAACTCAATTTAGTTTAATTTACCAGAAAACAAAACTTCATATCTTCATTTTACATCTCCAGTCAATGTGTCTTGATTTAAGGATATTTAGGTATTCGTATTGGAAAACAAGACCAAATACTGAGGAAGAGATTCATTTTAGCAGTGAATGCAACATTTAAGGCCATGTTCTTATGAATTCAAGACTCTAATTTAAGATCTTCATTTGTGGAAGAGTGAATAAAGATCACTGCAGGATTATGAGTGCACACGTACCTTTCTCGCTCTCCATGAACGTCCCGTAGTCGCTCTTACTCTTGTCTGTGACACCCTCGTCTTCCTCGTCTTCGTTCAGCCACGTGTCCTCGTCCTCCTGGAAGGAGCGGCCGTCCCTGCGATACCTGAGAGAGGACACCTCTTTCACACACACTCCGCTTGCAGTGCGATCCAGCAGAAAATGCCAGTATCGGAGCGATACCAGTACTGAGTATCGGATCGGTGCATCCCTACTGTTAACGCAAGACAAATAGGCTATATGCTGCGTTTAAATGTGTTGCCACTTGCTTGAGCGACTTAATAATATACAAATCTAGAAGTCACATGTATTGAATAATACATTGTTTACATTTGAGTTTAAACGTGAATGTCTATGAAAGATTGTATTACTGTACTGTGATAAAAGAGAGACACGATGCTGAGAAAGCATTTTCAGAAGCAGCGTCTGGATTTGAAATCAGGATAAATGTTGTGTTTGTGGATCAGAGCAGCGGAGCAGACGGAGTGTGTGTGAACCCGGCATCAGTCAGTGTTTCTGGATGAAGGCACCTGCTAAATCCTCGGCTCTGCCGCTGCTTCTCCTGCTCGTAGCGGCCCTTCAGGCCCTTGAAGGTCTGCACGTACTCGATGGACTCCAGCGCCGTGGAGAAGTTATCCACGATGTGTGCAATCAGAGATCTGATGTCCTCCTGATGACGGAAGCACAGCGCTCAGTAGGGTTGGGTCTCGTTTAGGGCTGTGCAATTAATCATCTGTGATTATGATCGTGATATTGTGTAGCTTGTCAGTGAACTACGGCTTGGTGTAGTAAATGCTGCTCCGTCTGAAAGCACGTGATAGAGATTTACTTCTAATCACAGAATCAGCTTTACTGACAAGATGCGCTTGACTATCACATGCAATTAATTGCACAGCCCTAGTATCGTTTGAATTTGATCAATTCCAATTCTTATTCCGATTCCCAGTTTCGATTCCAATGTGGTTACAAAAATGAAATGTATTTATTCTGTCTTTTTTTGCAAAACATTTCAATTGCTGCTGAATACCATGAACAAAAATCAGCCGGCTACATAAAAACTGGACTTGATTAAGAGCCGTTTGTGTGCAAAATAGAGCTGCATCATAAATTGAGACTTTTTTTTAATTTTTATAAATGGAGGTTATAGTTCTCTCACAATTCTGAAGAAAAAACATTAGACAACTAAACAAAATCTCATGGAATTTATGCATGGAATGATTCAATGACTCAGTGTTTTTGAATGAATGATTCAAAGACAAATACATTTTTAACAGCCCCTTTCCACCACCTAAAAATAAAAGATGTGCACACAGAAATTGATAGGTGGAATTGAAATTTTAATTTCACAACAAGTGTCCGGTTCCTGACCTTAAGTATCTGATTCTGGAATTGGAATTGATTTTGGATTCGCAGTCCTAGCGGGTCAGAGGAGACTGCACTCACCACTCTGATGAACTCGAAGAGCTCGATGATGGCCGAGTTCAGCAG